TGGCATGGGCTTAATTGTGCTCTTGTGTGTAAATTGTCCAAGGTCCACTCACCAAGACATTATCAGTGACATTAACTCTCAAGGTCACATCAGTGGCAAAAATCATCTCTCAGGGTCAAACAATGCCTCAATAGATTACAGAATTCTTAGTGGGGTGTTTGAGTGTCCATGCAAACATGGGGTGAAACAGCATGAAGGTGGTCAGAGAGAAATCTGCCAGGTCCTACCAAACAGCTGGAAGCTCTCCCGGGCCCTGCCAAGCAGGGGAGCTGTTCTCTTCACACCGTCGTGCCATCCACACCTACTGCATGGACACCAGCAAGTTTCATCTCTTTGAAACAGTTTCTTCTGATTAAATTATTAAATGATTCATAGATCATACAAAAGCATCATTTTCTTCAAGAAGGTTCTTGATTTTCTTTTTCATTTCTTCAACGATGCATTAATCATTCAGTAGCATGTTATTTAACTTTAGGATGTGGTTAATTTCTTTTTTTTCCTGATGTTGATTTTGTTTTGTGGCTTTTTATTCAAGGTAATGTATAATAGCTGTGTAATGGAGACTGTCATATCTAGTAACATGTCATTTAACTTGATGACATCGTAAATTCCTATGTTTCTTCCTATTGTTGATTTTGTATTGTGGCTTTTCATTTGAGGGGATGTACAGTAACTATGAAATGGAGACTAACATCCAGATGTGAGGATACAATGTAGTATGCATCTCTACTTCCAGACAAAGATGGACTTACAGTGAAACTGTTCACTATACCTTGACAATAGGATGCTGGACTCTCTGCCATTGTCCATGCCCGCAATGATGGACATATGACTGTGTATGAAGAGCTATGCCTTCGTAATCATATAGAGGAACTCGGTGGAGGGGGAAATTGGGGAGGGGGCAAGTTAAGTTCCAGGAGCCTATAGAACTGTATCATAAAATGATGATGATGATGATAATAAAATCATCATAATAAACTAATGCAATCACAATAAAGTATGAAGTTCAGCAGTGACATATCCGTATGGCTTCAATAGCTGTGACAAATGTGTAGCAGTAAAGTAAAATGCTACCAGCAAGGGAAAATGAGTGTGGGATGTGAGTTCTGCACTGTCTGCAACTTTTCTGTACACCTAGACGCATTCTACAAGAAGAGCGCCTTAAGGAAAGGAATAGAAAGTGGGCGTGAAAGTGACTTGCTTTTCCATATTCCAGGGCTACGGTGTGGGGGTGGGAGGAGGAAGGGGTCTGTGGGGAAAAAGGATCTTTGCTGACCTTCTGTGCTGCTCTAACCCCTGGGCACTGCAGGGCTGCTCACAGTGTCTTCATCCACGTTGATATCCAGCCCCACAGCTCACAGCTATGCCTGGGTTGCAGCACAAATCCCTGGGTCAGGACCCCAGGTCAGCTTGGATGCTCCTCCATGTATCCACAGAACTAAACCCAGAAGTCCCAACTCCCTGGGCTCCTGGGGTCTCCGAGGACTGCCAGGAGCAGAGTAGAGCTCTGCACACAAGAGGGCGTTCCTGTGCCATGTTAAATTCCAGGGTATGATGGGCCCGGCACAATAGCATAGTGGTTAAAGTCCTCACCTTGCACGTTCCAGGATCCCATGTGGGCTCCAGTTCTAATCCCAGCAGCTCCACTTCCCATCCAACCCCCTGCTTGTGGCCTGGGAAAACAGTCGAGGACAGCCCAAAGACTTGGGACCCTGCGCCTGCCTGGGAGACCCGGAAGAAGCTCCTGGCTCCTGGCTTCAGATTGGCTGAGCTCCAGCCGTTGCAGCTGCTTGGGGAGTGAATCAATGGATGGAAGATCTTACTCTCTGTCTCTCCTCCTCTCTGTATATCTGCCTTTCCAATAAAAATAAATATATCTTTAAAAAAAAGTTCCAGGGCTACTCTTTCCAAGGCCTGCTCATGCAAGCCTCTTGTGACCACAGGACAGTCAAGTCTCCAAGTTGGAACAGCCTGTTCTCTGGTCGGAGGGGTACCCCATAAAATTGTGTTGCTGTTGCTATCTCCTGGAAGTAAAGCCCCACACTCCAGCCCTAGGACAGGTGCGCTGCACTGGGATAGCCACAGCCCTGAGCTGCAAGCTCTCTGCATTTACTCAGACAGTGGGAGCTGCTGTTAAGAAGCTGGCCTCAAGAGCCGCTCCCAGGGCTTCGTGGGGCATGTAGCTGGAAGCTAGAGTGAGTTACAGGGACCCCATGTTTGAGTCTGGGCCAGTTGTCTACCTAATGATCCAAGGAATCCTACTGAGGTAGCTTTGTAGTCCCCATCTCCCCATTCCCAGCACTAGAGGCTAGAACATTGTCCCCTTTGAAATGCAAACCTGGATCCCTGCCACAAAGTCCCACATCACCCAGGACCACTGCACCCTGAGTCCTCTTTCCTTTCATAGACCCAAGTGGACAGGGACCTGCTGTCTCCGGCCCATGGGTCTCACTCCTTGCCAGCTTCACTCCTTGGGTCTGAACATGAATATTATTTTCTGGTCCTGCCAATGGGCCTTCGGATCAAGGATTCCTGGGTCTAGAAAAGTCTCTGCAGGGCCCTAGGCTGTGGCTGGGCCTATTTCTGTTCAGGATGAATTCTCCATGGCCTTCTCAATCTGAGTTCTGCATTCTACATGACTGGTCTTTGTCCATGAAAAGTAGTCTGCATATGTTTATTTGTCTTCTTTCTTTGTTTCTTTTCTTTTTTAAGATTTATACTATTTTTATTGCAAAGTCAGATGTACAGAGAGGAGGACAGACAGAGAGGAAGATCTTTCATCCTCTAGTTCACTCCCCAAGTGACCGCAATGGTTGGTGCAGAGCCAATCCGAAGCCAGGAGCCAGGAGCTTCTTGCAGTTCTCCCAGGAGACCTGTACTCTCCCAGGCGGGTGCAGGGTCCCAAGTCTTTGGGCTGTCCTCAACTGTTTTCCCAGGCCACAAGCAGGGAGTTGGATGGGAAGTGGAGCTGCTGGGATTAGAACTGGAGCCCACATGGGATCCTGGAACGTGCAAGGCGAGGACTTTAACTGCTATGTTATTGTGCCAGGCCCTATTTGTCTTATTTCTTGGGTTCTTGGGCTCTTGGGTTCTCGGGCGGGCACTCTGTCTCCCTTTCTCTGCCTTATATGAGCGTTCTTGAAAGGACAGAGCCATCCCGTATCTGATTTACTCCCCAACGCTTAACAACAGCAGAGACTGGGCCAGGTTCAGTGGAGAACTTCTGGGCTCCCAAGTACTTCACCCAGCGCGGTTCGCCTCCTGGCGAGCTCAGCCTCGGGAAGCTGGAACCGAGAGCGCCGACCCCCCACAGGGATGCGAGCTCTTGACCTTGCCAGGTCTCGGGGCAGGTGGGAGGCGGCCTGCCGACTGGGAGGGAGCGGAAGCAGGCGGGGTCTGGGCGGGGTCGCCGGTCGCCGGGCCTGGGCGTGCTGGGCCGGAGCTTGCTCGCCGGCGGTCCCACCCGGGCCGACGTCCCTGCCGTCGCGTGAGTGGGGCGTGGGGGGTTCGCGCTCGCGGCGGGAGAGGATGCTGGAGGCGGCCCGTCCGGTGCTCCGCGCTTCGCAGCCCGCGAGGGTGGTCGCGCTCCCCTGGTCGTGGGCGAGTCCCAGCTCCTGGGACCCCACGGGCAAGCCCGCGCTAGGCGGGAGTGTGGTCCCGGCACCGAGGCGGGGCTGCTGGCTCCGGCAGAGGGAGCCGGGACCCCGAAAAGACAAGTTTCAGAGCCAAGGGGGCCTTGAGCGCCCGGCCGGTGGGGCCGCTTCCGAACCCACCACCATGTTCAGTGCGTAAGCGGCACGGGCGCCCCCAAAGGTGGGCGAAAGCGCCTTCGGGCGGCGCGGGGGACGCCCGGGGCTGGAGGGACCCCCAGAGGCCTCAGTTTCAGACCCGCAGTGAGGAGCGAGCTCCCGGTGTTTGGGTTTGAAGAAAAGCAGAACCCTGAAAGATGGCGCCACATTGCCCGAGATGACCCCGCGGAAGGGTGGGACCGGACCTAGGTACTGAGAAGGCCGCCTGGGGCTCCAGCCTCCGGAGACGCGCCCAGCCGGCACGGGGAGCTCCGGACCCTGTGCCGGGGAGCAGTGCGCTGGGCGACGCACGTGGGGCCGCCGGAGGTGAGAGTCAGACCCTAACCGAGGGCATCTCCCACCATCCACGTGGGGTTGGAGGACCAGGGCTAGCAGTGGTCTTCCCTTCCAGGGATCCAGAAGGGCAGATCCCGGAGCGTCCGACCGTGGAGGCTAGATCCCCTGTGTCTGGTTGAACCTTGGCTCTGCACAGCGCACCAAATGGTCTTGAGCAAGGGAGGAAAGGGGAGACGGAGGGCAAAAGTCAAAGAGAAGGCGCCAACAGGTTTCCGAGTGTTTATTCTCTCCCTTCCACGGAAGAGAGGTTGTCAATGTAGTAAGCTGCTGGGCAGGAAATGTCCAGGAGTGGGAGTAGGGCCGGAGGGTGCAGGCAGGGAATGTCATTCCTGGCTGCTTGAGAGCCTGAGTAGTTGTGTGGTTGCCAGCATCCCAGGCCATGAGAAGGGAGCTAAATCGGAAGCAGAGCAGCTGAGACACAAACCTGCTGCCCATATGGGATGATGGTGTCGTCGGTGGTGGCTTTTACCTGTTACGTCACGACACTGACCCCATCGCAGCAATTTTGATTTTACCATGGTGTGAGGTCTTCATTATTAGCAACCGTACTTTAAACTGTGCTTTAGAGCCCAGCGCGATAGCATAGTGGCTAAAGTCCTGGCCTTGAATGCGCCAGGATCCCCTGTGGGCGCTGACTCTAATCCCAGCAGCTCCACTTCCCATCCAGCTCCCTGCTTGTGGCCTGGAAAGGTGGTCGAGGACGGTCCAAGGTTTTGGGATCCTGCACCCACGTGGGAGACCCGGAAAAACCTCCTCGCTCCTAGCTTCAGATCGGCTAAGCTCCAGCCGTTGCAGCCGCTTGAGGAATGAATCATCAGCAGAAGGAGGATCTTCCTCTCTGTATATCTGCCTTTAAATAAATAAATTGTACTTTAAATTGTAATCTTTTCTCTGGCTGGCTGTTTAAGTGCTCTCTTTGGATGTTAAGCAGCTGCTGCACCCAAGTCAGCCTTGATCACTAAAAGAATCGGCCAAGGCTCCACAGAACGTCGTGTTCCTGAGCAAAGATGCTAGCGAGTTTAGGGGTGGGTTTTTTGTTGTTGCTGGGAAGGCAAGGAGACAGAGACGGCCAGGGATTTCTTATCTTGTTAGTGCATTCCTCAGATGCCTATGTTAGCTGGTGCTAAGCCAGGCTGAAGGCAGGAGATGGGAACTTGGTCTCCCTGTGAGTGACAGGGACCCACATACTTAGGCAATCACCTCCTGCCTCCTGGGGTGCAGCTGAGCCAAGGCGTGGGAATGAGGAGCAGCTGAACTCAACCCTTGGGCTTCCAAGGCAGCTTAACAGCTACACCACATATCTGCCCACGCTAGGGGAATTAAATGTGGGGGTTTTTTTTCTAATGGAAAATTTCAACTTCCAGTGGGTTTTTATTCAAATATAACCCCATTGTAATTGAGGAACAGCTGTATATTAAAATGCAGGACAGAATTGTAAACATTTGGTTTTGGTACAGGAAGGGGGTCTCTGAGAGTGTCGTCTTTGTACTCTTCCGATACAAATCACAGAGAATGAGACTCACTCCAGGCACTTTGTGATGGATCCAGGCATCGTTATCCCAGGCAGGTGTGCTTTTTTGGTGCTACTGAGTCTGGAATTTCCAACCTACTCTTCTGAAAGTTGCTCAGCATCTCTGTATCCTGGGTCCCTTAAGGTCAGTAATTGTTCCATCAAGGGGCACTGCCCAGAGGTTCAATGACACAGAGCAGGTGTTATATAAGCCTTGGTATTCCTTAGCCAAAGAAGGGAGCTACCATTGCTTACTCTTCCAATTGCTTATTTGTCTTGTTTCTGTCTGACCTCAGGTTTCTAGAGGTGGGCACCAAGTAGCCAGAGAAGCAGGGCCAAACAGAAATCGAACATCTGGTTCCCAGCCTAGCACATCAGAGGATCAAGAGTGACCAGGGCCCTCAACTCTGCAGCCCAGGCTTTGAACGAACAACAGAAGTTCTCAATGATGACAGAGGAGAATCTAGACAGTGAAACAAAGAGGGGAGGAAGCCCTTTGGAGCCAGAAGCTACATCGAAGCCAGAGGCCTTCCCGGGACCCTTCCATCTGCCTGAATGTGGGCTGGCAGAGAGCGTCCAGAAGGAGACCAATGTGCTCTGGGAACCAGGCCAGGAAGGGAGGCTGGAAAGAGGCCCCAGGGATGAGATGGTGTCTGAGCAGCCGACCCTGCAGGTGGACGAGGCGGCGGATGTGGTGCAGGACATCAGGAAGAGAGACAACTGGTGGAATGCATGGGTGCAGGTGAGGAGCCCCAGCTGGGACCCGGCCCCGACTGTGGGAGTCCTGTCGTTCATTCTCCTGCCTGCACGTCCTCTGGACTCAGTGGCTCCAGGCTGAGGGGTGACCTTTTTCAACTCCGCCCCAAAACTCCCTGAACTCCTCTGTGGAGCACTCCCTGAACTTTTATTTATCTTCCGTCTACCTCCCTTTAGTTTCTCTCCCTTTCATTACTCCTTGCTGTGCATCCCGGTCACTGGCTGTGTATCAGTCTTGTCATCATGCTGTCTTCCTTCTCGGGTTTTCTTGTCTGGGTTTGCAGCTGTTTGAACTTCGAGGCTGCAGTGGGCTCTGTAGACTTCCCAAGGCTCTCCTGCTCTTCCAGAAGCCAGTCACCTATGAGGATGTGGCAGTAGACTTCACGCAGGAAGAATGGGACTGTCTAGATGCCAGCCAGAGGGCCCTGTACCAGGATGTGATGGCAGAAATCCGTAGGAACCTGGCATCTGTGGGTGAGAGGCTGCTCCCTGTTCCTCCCTGGCATTGTGAAGTACCTTCTAGGCTTGGGTCATTAAGCTCGGGGGCAAAAGAAGAATTCAAAGCTAACATAGCACTTGTAAATGTACTGGCATTGTTCTCAGATCTGCATATCTTCCTGTTCACCCAACCTACAGTTGCTAAGGCACCCTGTGTGCCAGGCACCCTGCTAGGAACTGGCCTTTGTATCTCCATATCCCAGACTGTGGCCGTTCGACCAAGGATACGGGATGTAGCCTGTTGTCCCCATATGGTATGAAGGGATCAAGTCTGACATTAACACACCTCTCCCATTCCCATTAACCAGCCAGCATCTTTCTGACTAAACCAAATGTTATCACCAACTCTGAACCAAAAGAGGAATCGCAGAGAGCTGCTGTCTGTCCCCCGAACAGCAGAGGCCTCATTTCAGGTGAGAATCACAAGGGAGAGATGGCAGAAGGTTCAGGACAAATCCTGCCTGGGTGGGGAGCCCACTGAGAAGGTCAAGGCTGTGCATTCGCTGCCACCACTCGCAGCTCACACCTGTGCAGCCTGGTCACACTTGGGGCTGGAAGAGGCCTTGGGGTCATTGGCTGTAGTTTCTTGGTGTCAAGATGAAGATCCAAGCAGAAGCTTTCAGTTTCTAGGGCCTGAGAGAATACATGGAGGTGGGTTGCGTCAGTGATCTCTGTTGATCAAGAAGTTCCACACAACAGAACATTGAAGCAAGGTTGATAAACTTGATGATAGGTTAAAGGAGAGTACTGTTCTGTGGGGGTAGAGTAAGGAGTTGGGAGAGGCCTCAGCTGCACTGACCACATCTTGTCCTGGGGTACACTTCTCATCCTAGGTGGATCGTGAATGGCATCTCTTTTCACCCTCCAGTCTCCTAGTTGTCATGATGCAGTAGTCCTGCTTTAGGCACTGGAGATACATTCCAAGACCCCTGATGGCTACCTGAAGCAATGGGTAGTACACAATCCCGTCTACTTGTTCTATACTTTCCCTATACATTCCTATGATAGAGTTTAATTCCAACAAGAAGCACATTGAGAGCTTAAATTAGAATTAGTAATAAAAGACTATACTGTGAGCTATGGGAATATGGCCTTTCTGGATCAAATATGGAACTTTCACGTAATATTTTTCCACTGCAGGTAACTGAAGTCTTGGGTAGCAAATCAACAGATGAGGGACTGCTGTATGTTGTGTAGTCCCCTGTGAATATCTGGGGTATAGCCATAGTGAGACGGGGAAAGAATGGATTTCAAGAAATGGTCTTGTATGTTAAATTTTAGATCTCTGACATTGTTCAAAGATTCCAGTTGGATATTTTAGTTTCCTTACAATTTGAAAAACCAAAGATTTTCTTCTCTCTAGCTGATGAAGTCTGAGGGTGAGGAGGAAAGGAAGCGGGGTAGTAGCTTGGAGTGTCCAAGTAGTCTCATCATCAGTGTTGCATTGTTATCCTCACTCACTGTAGGGGACAAGAAGGAAGAACTTCAAGAGCAAGGACAGAGTCAAAGAGAGAGAGAGGAGGGAAAGAGCGATGACATGGCATCCCTTGCTTGCACAAGCAGAGACCAGAGTCCACCTTCTGCACCAGCTGGGTCTCCGGACAAGACCCCAGTGTTGCCAACATCCCAGGCTGGGTCACCCTTCTCCTGTCTCACCTGCGGCAGAAGTTTCAGCAAGAGCTCTTACCTGCAGAGCCACCAATTTGTTCACAGCCCCAAGCCCACTAACAGCTGTAGCCAGTGTGGGAAGCTGTTTCGGAACCCCAAGGCCCTCAGCTACCACAGACGCATGCATCTTGGGGAGCGGCCCTTCCGCTGCCCGCTGTGCGACAAGACTTACTGTGACGCATCTGGCCTGAGTCGTCACCGCCGCGTCCATCTGGGCTACCGGCCCCATTCATGCCCCGTGTGTGAAAAGAGATTCAGGGACCAGTCTGAGCTCAAACGTCACCAAAAGATACATCAAAACCAGGAACTGGTAGCTGGGAATCAGGAGCAACCGGTGAGGACTCTGGACACTGAGGCTGGATTTCAGGTTCCCATTGTCAGAAAACAGAGGCTTGTGGATACAAACCAGGCACCAGAGCCCAGGGCCCAAGAACGTGCATTTAGAACCCAGGGTCCTGTGACCAGGAACCAGGTGATCACTAGAGGAAATCAGACAGCAGTTGCTACAGCCCCAGAGCCTACATGTGGGACCCAGGCATCTGGCACCAGCTCCCCCCACCTGGATACCAGACCCAACACCTTCCCAGGGAAGCCCTCAAAATTCAAAATCTTCATTTGCCCCAATTGCCCCTTGAATTTTAACAAGAAATCACATCTTTCTAGACACCAGCAGACCCACTTTCCGGAGCGGCCCAGCCGTTGCTTCCACTGTGGCAAGTGTTTCGGCTCAGTTTCTAGACTGGTGGAGCACCAGCAGGTGCACTGGACACAGAAGATCTATCGGTGCCCCATTTGTGACGTGTGCTTTGGGGAGAAAGAGGCCCTCCTGGGTCACTGGAAGAACTCTAAGAACCAGGAACGGTTCCTGGGAAGCTCCCCTCAATGCTGGGTGGTCCTGAGCCAGTGGCTTGGCTTTTCTCAATCTGCCTCGCCTTTAGTTGTCAAAGACCAGAAGCCTGGAAGAAGCGAATCTCCTAGAATACAAACTCACAGGGGTGGGGAGGCGAGCAAGAACGTGTGCAAATGAGACGAGGCCTAGGAGGAGGCAAGGGGCTGGCAACGCACAGAAACAATGTTTTCTGAGGGTTGACCTTGTCTTTACTGTTCCTGAGAACTGACCACTGGGGTCAGCAGGGAGAGAGGTGAGCAGGGAACGAAAGCAGTATCAAAAAGGAAAAGCAGGTGTGCGCGTGGAAGTTTGTGTTATTAATAATTAGCACCTAATTTGTTTCTCCATGTCTGATAGACCATCAGGTCGTAATCATTGAGTGGGACAGTGGATAATCCGACAGGTGTGAAGATGGAGAAAAGAGATGAGAAGAGGGAAAGAGTGAGGTCTCCATGGGGGAAACGGAAGGGTAGTATTCCAAAGCGAATGTGTTGCCACCTCCCAGCCTTCACCCACCTCAGTCCTTGCTAGGTGCTCAGGCAACATGGAGCTCTGGCCAGCGTTTCGTGGGTTTCTCCCCATCTCTGGTTTTTGGTCGGGGGTTCTCAGCCCACTCAGCTGTTCCAGACGTTTTGGGCCCTTCCCATACTTCCCAGGTCTGCCCAGTGAGGGCTGTGATCTTGGGAGGAGGAGCAAAGCTGACACCTGGTCTCTATTTTGTGGCTGACAGCCTCCCCACTGCCCTCTTACTCCAGCACAGGTGTGCTCTGAAGTGGGCAGAGCACCTTTTGGATTTGGCCAGAGAGCTTCCAGGTAGAAGAGTGCAGAGTGGAGCAGGAGGATATGGGTGGAAAAAAGAAGTGGGCGAGGGTGAGAGGGTGGAAAAAGATGACAAATGAAGGGAAAATCTGTTCTATTTGGAGTTCCTGTTTCTGGAAATGTTGATTGGGATGCTCCCATAGTGAACAGGCCTGTGAATGTGCAGCTTGATGGATGAGACATCTCAAGGTCCATCCCTGGACCAACCAGGCTCTCTGCGATCCCTGGCAAGATGGGATGTCACTCAGAAGGGGTTTCCTAGAAGAAGGAGAAAACAATCTGGAAAAACCTGTTCTGTTTATAGCAGCTCAATTCTCAATAGCAAAGATAGATCAACCTCGGTATCCATCAATTGATGACTAGATAGAGAAAATGTATTTTATGGAATGTACTTAGCCATAAAAAGGAAAACCCTAGGACCAGCATTGTGACATAGCTGGTAGAGCTACCACCTGCAGCTCCAGCAGCCCATATGGGCACTGGTGGAGTTCTAGAGGCTTCCAACCCAGCTCCCTGCTGATGTGCCTGGGAAAAGCAGCTTGGATCCCTGCCATCCACATGGCAGACCCAGATGAAGCTCCCGGTTCCTGACTTTGGTCTTGTCCTGGATGTTGTGGACATCTGGGCAATGAATCAGCAGATGGAAGATATCTCTCTCTTTTTTTTCCCCCCGCTGTAACTACCTTTCAGATGAGGTCAGGCATGATCAGGGTGGTATGGCCGTAGACTATAACTACCTTTCAAATGAATCAATCTTGGGGAAAAAATGTGGATATCACATCATGTGGTACTCAGTTAAACTTATAAGCAAGAGAAGAGAACTTACGTAGCTCTTCCAGAAATTGTCCTGAAAACAAAAAAACAAGCAGGTGATCAGTGGGAAACGACTAGCCTTGCCTCTCCCACATCCTCCCTCTGGACCAAAGGGTTGTCTGACTTCTATTTTCACTGAAGGACCCCACAGGTTGTTCTCAGCTCCTGAATTTTAAGTTTTGATTCCCCCTTTCTGTTTTCCCTTCAGAGCTGCCTTGGCCCCCACAGGTTGGGGGCTTGCTGCTCAGCCACTGTACCTGCTAGTCTTCGGTGTAGCCAGTTGTAGCAAATGATCAGGGCAACCAGGGGTCCAAGCACTGGCACGAGGACAAACAGGGTTACCTTCCAGCAGGGCACCCTCAGAAAGTGCGGATCTGAGTGGGTCATCAGAATAGCAATGGTTAACATGCATTCCCTCTCACCATGCCTCAACCACCTGGGGCCCTTCAAAAGAGAGAATTCTAGAAGGGACAGAATCTAGAGAGCCCGTGAACTTGGATGAGCAAAATGCTGCACAATGTATTTTCTGTAAGCTCTAGCTGAATGCAACATTATCTTTTATTATTAAAGATGTGAACACATCAGCATCTTTGGTGTGTGAAACTTGTCACCAATGGAAACCACAGATGCTCTCATTCCAATTACAAGTTATTGGACTTAACTACCATCTTGTCATTTAGTATTAAAGGTGCATGCTACTGAATAACAAATTGTGCTAATGTTATTTCAATATAGTGATTCAGTATTCTATGTGTTCTCTGTGTATGTTGAAAAACATTGTGGGAAGGGTTCAGTAAGTTTCTCTAGAGGGCCAAAGAGATTCTTGGTACAAAAAGAGTTAATATCTTTGGTATTCTAAGCCTAAACAAAAGTACTTTAAGTGTTCTCAATTATATGTATGTGTATTTATATGCCCATCTAGTGTCAAATCCTACGATGGAAAAACATTGCAGCCACCATTCAACAAATACATGGCTGCCATTCCGTTGCCAGCCTTGTCTTTAGGTACTGAGCAAGTGAACCCAAGGGCAGAGGTCTTACGTATAACATCATTTAGATGGTCTCATTCAGGGAAGCAGTATTTATGACTGAATTTGATGGCTTCAGTCTCCAGGGAGACTTCTGTGATTAGTCATGTACAATTACTCTTTCTCTCCTCTATATGAAAATTCATTCTGACACATAAGCATGGTAGATGCCTTGTTCTCTTGCTCAAGTATGTGTTTCACCTCTCCCACTAGACACCAAATGCATGTGCAAAGGATCGTTTACCTTCCTTTTGGAATTTCTGACAATCAAAAAATAAGGTGCACAGTAGGTTAATAGGATGCGAGTTAACATTTGCAAAGCTGTTAGCATGGTGCCAGGCACACACATACAAGGTACATAAATATTTGCTATTCCTAGATGTGATGGTCACTTCAAGAAAAAGAGAAGAGGGAAAAGGGACCCAACTGGGAGCCAGGTGTCCTTGCTCCCCTAGGTGATGGATGATGCCGAAGTAAAGGTGGGGGGCTGGGACAGACACCCAGCTTAAACTTACCGAAGGTCCGGTGGAGATTCTCTGAAAGAGGCAGGAACAGAAGTGGGTTTAGTGTGGCTCTCGGGGGTGAGAGTCTGCCTTTTGATGTCTACATGGGTTTCAGTTTTGACACAAGGGAAGGGAAGCTGTAGGACTTCTCTGGCTGATGGCAATGGGCAGCAATGAGCCATTCTGCAATTCTTGGTGGAGTTCTGTTTTAAAGTTTTGTGGTGACATTATTAGGCAGAGAGAGTTCTTCCATCTCTTGGTTCCCTCCCCTCAAGGCGTGCACCTGCTGAGGCTGTGCAGAAACCCAACCTGGGCTTCCCATCTTGAACTAAAACGCACTGCCTCTTAGGGTGCACATTAACAAGAAGCTGGAACTCCATTCTAGGTGACAGCTTAACCTGCTGACCGCAGTGCCAGCCCAGATTGTAAACACTGGCGAATTTTCTACCAGAGAGAGAATAGGGTCTGAGAAAATGGCTTATTTAGATTATACCAAAATATTAACAAGGATGTGGAATTCCAGGAGGGTGAGTGGAACTCACCTATTTCTGCTCGAAGCTTTCCTGAAATGGAAAAAAGGCAACAGATTTAGTCCTTGCTCTACCCCTCATCCCAGCCCTGTCCCTGGCTTTTGTGCTGTATGTCCACAGTGTGGGAGCCCCCTCAGGAGGACAGGCAGAGTGTGGGGTCTGGGGCCAGCAGCTCAGGCTTGCTCCGTAATTGTCAGTCTGGAATTAAGAAGGCAAGACCCCTCTGTAAATGGCAGTGCCCAAACCATCTTCAGGTTTTATTGCCTCTTCCACTGCTAAGTTCACATTGCCACGCTACCCTGCTGGGTTGCCATGCTGAAAACCTGAGGCTACCATCTGAGTGAGGAACTGGCTCGGAGCTCCTGATGCTTCCAGAGGCTACCACTTGGGTTCTCCCTGCCCAGTGCTGGGGTTAGGGACCTTTTCCTAGGGGAGCAGTAGGTAACACCGGGTGCATTTGGAATGAATCAGGGTGAGAAGAGGACCCTGGGCCTCCTCACCTGCAGAGCAACCTCACTGCTCTGTCCTCTTAGTAAGGGCAGTGGGTGGTAGGGGTCCTTGTATGTTGGTCTTAAGGAGAATACTTCGGAGCAGGGGAGAAAGCTTAGGATGAGACTCCAGACACAGAAAGGAGCCTCCATGGCTACAGTTGAATTCCAGTCTTCCATGTTGAGTGAACAGCGCTGAGGAAGTAACTTTTGAACACAGGGAAACTTTCACTTTGGTATTTTTTTTTAAAGCTCCCTAACAGCCTACATCCTTGAGGCTTCTGCCCTTCCAAGTGCATGAAGCTGCCAGGTGTGAGCCGCACCTGGACTCTGTCACTTAGAGCAACATCAGTTTGCATGAGTCCTGGGACCACTGCAACCTTGGCAGCTTCCTCCTATAAAATGGGGCAGTTTTGTGCCAGACTTACCTCCTGGGGGAGGCAAGGTTGCAGTAGACACAGGAAAGCATAAGGTAAGAGGTAAAATCTATCACCACCATAGAGTCAAGAGCCCGGGAATCTCTCAAAAAAAGAAACATGAACTGCCCCAGGTGCTAGGAGGCCAGTGCCTACCAGGGAGGGATGCAGACCCGCCCCATGCACGTGTGGACCTCACCTCTGAGTCTGCGCTGTAGGCAGAGGTAGACGAGGCCCACGGTGACCTGCAGGAGAAGCACGGGCAGTACAGCGATGAGAACCAGCATCCCTGGGTTGATCCAGTAGAAGGGATCTGAAAAGCACAAATGACAGCGTCAGCTGCACCCTCAACACCCTGTGCAAGACATCCATGGGAATATGTGCACGCTTCCTTACACATCAACTCACCTCAGTTTATGTGCAATACCTAATGCAATGCAAATACTGGGCTCATTCCTGACAAGGAAAACGTCCCTACATGCTCAGCATGGACCACATTTGTTTTCCCAAATGTTCTTTTCATCTGCGGTTGGCTGAACCCACAGATGGAGAACCCACCGACTCAGAGGGCTGGTTGTACACACTTAACAGTTCCTTTTTGGTTTGGTTTTTGTATACATTTTATAGCTCATACAGGATCAGAATTATTAAAAAAAAAAAAAAAAAAGGCCAGCATTATCAACCTCCTGCTAGAAAGCAGTGAAAGCATATAGCATCATTTACAAAGTATTGTTGCCAGAACAAATCAAACCTGAGTCTGCTCATGCCTCTAGTGGTTCACAAGGCATCCAGGGCAGGAAGCACTGTGGAAGTGACCAGTGGTATTACCAGCAGGATTCACACTCTGGGACCCTCCAAGGGCAGACAGGAATGTGTGGCTCCTGTTGGGTTTTCCTAGCAGGGTTAGCACCCAGCTGAGGCCATGGCCCGGAATGATGCCACCTGGATCCCCAATAGACGTGGCAGGAATCCCAGGACTTGGCCATCTTCGGCTGCCCCTTGGGCACGTCAGCAGAAAGCTGAATCAGAGAGGCAGCCTGGATTTGAACTGCTATTAACAGAAGTGTTGTGGAGGTTAGGAGATGTGGGAATAGGTGACAGCTTAGACTGTTGCTGCAGGACAAGGCCCATCCCTAAAAAGGAGTCCCTATGGTTGGAGTGGCAGCTTCATGAACGCCTAACAGGGAATGATGGTGCTGCCCAGGGCTTCCCTCAGCTCTTACAGTAGGAATGGCGAGCAGGTGAAATGAATGGGTCACCGTGCTTTGCTGACAGTTGCAGCTGGAGACAGGCACGTGAAGATTTCTTCACTTGCGTACCTTTTCCAAGCTTCATGGTGGAGACTTTAAAGACAGGATTAGAGAAGCAGTCAAAGTCAGAAAAAGGATCAAAGGTGTTTAAAAGAGAAATTGGGAACCGATTAGCAAAAGAGAAGAACCCATTACATAACAAATTAAAACATACTACAATGAAAGTTATGGCTTCCGGGATCCCTCCTGTCAAATGTTCTTTTTTTTTTTTTTTTTAAGATTCCTAGCCTTGCAAACTCCTGGATGGGAGGAGGGCATTGGAATGCGGAAACTAATCCCAAAGAAAACTTTCTCCCTTGAGGCAAAGCTCCCCACCTCCCCCCTTCTCTTTCTGTGGCATTGTGTTGAGAATAAGGGAGCATAGCTGGGGGAGGCAGCTATTTTTAAGTTTTTATTTATTGTAAGATCCATTTATTTATTTGAAAGGTAATGTGAGAAAGTAAGAAAGAGAGAGTATGCATCTTACTATTGGTCCACTCCCTGGGGCTGGGCCAGGTTGAAGCTGCCGGCATTGCTGGAGGCAGCTAAGCCACAATGCTGGCCCCGGGGCATTTACTGTAGTAGAAGTTTACTGGAGAAATCTCAAGTGTCAGACTTCTGCTCAGGTGAAAAGTACCCAGCGAAAAGAGCTGGGCGAAGTCGAGGTCTCTCCACCATCATCTGCAGAACTAGCACTTTGTTATCCCGTACACAATGCCTTCTCCTCGACCCTGCCCGGGAGACAAGAGTGGTGGATTGTCTGATGTTTGCTCTGCAGGTGGGAGGGGGGAAGGCTTAGCCACCCAGAATATGCTGTTCTTCAACTGAAAGTCAATTGACTTGCAAAGTCCCCCTCCAGCCACTTTATCTGTCTTGAGGGAGAACAAAAGAATAAACTCCCATCCCGTCCCTCCCACAGGGCTCAGTGGAGATGCCCAGCGTCTCTGAAATGATATTCAGGCGTTGGCCTCTTCTTCACTGGAACTGCCTTTTGCGAGGAGTATGTTTTTCAACAATTTTCCTCATCTATGGAAGCACCACAGATACAGCCACGGAGGAATTCATTGTCATGTGATCTGAACGACTGATTCTTACGCAGTAACATCCTTGCTGGCAAGAAAAGAACATCCAAAGTCAGAGGGCGGAAAAGGTCCACTTTGGAGCTTCAGACTAACTTTCAGATGACTCCTGTTCCCCTTGAGTGTTACAAAATAAGCAGGAAGGCTGCATTCATGTTTTTTTCTCCGTTTTTGCTTTTAATTTATTTTTAATTTTTTTATAAAGTTTTCCACATATGCATTTTATATACACTTTGATGTAACTCAAACAAATAAATTCAAATGGATAATACTGCACTCTTGCTTTATTTATTTATTTATTTTTTAAATAAGAGAGAGAGTAGGTCCTCCAACTGCTGAATCACTCCCCAAATGGCCACATCAGCCCAGGACTCAACCAGCCTAAACCCAGGAACTAGGAACTTCTTCCTGGTCTCCCAAATGGGTGGCATCTCCCACTGCCTTTCCAGGGGCTTTAGCAGGAAGCTGGATTGAGAGTGGACCAGCTGGGATTTGCCCCTGACTTGGGAACTTGCTGTGCAACGACGCCAAATCCTCTTCCTTCTCACTTTTTGGCTGGATCACACACCTCTACACTTGTCTTTTTCTCATACCCAAAACCAATCCACCGGAACTTTTCTGTAATTGTTCTTTCATAAGTTTCTCTGATATCTATCTATCTATTTGTATGTATAGAAATATTTTAGGATTGCAGAAGCAGAAATTTAAAAATAAATAAAGATGCCTGGCATGGTGGCCTAGCAGCTAAAGTCCTTGCCTTGAACATGCCAGGAGCCCATATGGGCGCTGCTTCTAATCCCAGCGGCCCCACTTCCCATCCAGCTCCCTGCCTGTGTCCTGGGAAAGCAGTCGAGGATATTCTAAAGCCTTGGAACCCTGTACCCACATGGGAGACCCACCCAGAAGAAACTCTCGGTTCCTGGCTTCAGATCGGCTTAGCTCCAGCCATTGCAGATCTTCCCGCCTGTCTCTACTCTGCATATCTGCCTTTCCAATAAAAATAAATAAATCTATCGCCAGCCCTTTGGCTAAGATCAAGTGTAAAAATAAATGAATCTTTAAAAAAAATGAAATTAAAAAAAATTAAGGGAAAAGTTTATTTTGCTACAAAAGCCTTTGAAATCCACAAATACGAATGTATTTTGGAAAACACAGGGTGATGTTTTTGTTCCCAACATTCTGTAACATGCCTTTCTTGCTCAACAATACCTCAAGGGATGCCTCCAAGCCACGGGGCACAGCTCTATCAATGCCATTTAACTGCTATGTAATAGATACCGTTTGGATACTCCTAACTTATTTAGTCTCTTTGCTACTCAGAGGCCTTGCCTTTGATTTCCTTCCCGCTGGAAATTACGATGCAGCAAACATTAGAATAGCTTTCCCTGTGTCCTGATGTGTATAGTTCTTGGGATGGGTTCTCTGGGGTGAGGTATGTGGGTTGCAGGACCTCATCTTATGCACAAGCAAGACTGAGTATCTATGGGAGGCCTTGGCTACTCACTCGGTAGGTAGATAGCATCAAGTTCTGCGTGGTTGTACTCACCTTCTACTCTCAACTCCATGGCCGCCTCCTCCTGGTAGGAATGATCTCGGAAGAAGCAGGTGAAGCCCCCTTCGTCTGAGAACCGAACCTTCCGGATCTTGAGGGTCACCTTTCCTTCGCTGATGGTGTCTTTGAGCAGCTCTGTCCGGCCCCGGTATTCTGGGGCCTGCTCTGCATCTTGATCCTTGCCATTCCGGTAGAGGTGAACCACCCTGGAGAAGGGCGGCCGGTACCAGCCCACCTCCATGCCTGTCGCGTTCTTCCCAGGAGCTATGCGGCACGGCAATTCCACTTCATCCCCAACCAGAGCCCGGATAGGGCGCGCTGGACCTATCACTCTGAACTGTCCTGTCCAAGATACCAGAGGGAAGAGAAGGAAAGTCAGAAGGGACTTCAACATGCAGACATGTTGCAGGGAAGGAAGGGGTCGGGAGCCAAGGAAGGACACTTGCTTCCTTTTTGGGCTTGTGGGCTTCTAGGACTAAAAAGAAGTTGGAGTTTTCTTCTGCAGCGGGACAAATCCAGAACATTTCTGACTACAGAGAGGCTGTGGGTGTCCTGGCCAGACCGCTCCGTCCTTTGACCACCTTGGTAGCTACTGCCAACATTTCTGCCATCTGCATCTGTCCCTGCTCAGCCTGGCCTTCGAGTCTCTCTGGAAATGTGGTCCAGTGTGCTCAAGTTCAATTCTCCATGGTCAAATGGGCCAAGTGGGTTCCTCCTCTTAGAGACTTAGCTTCTGTGGTTCCATGTACTTTACTTGCCTCTGTGCCTCTCCCCGGATCACTGCTCCCCAGAGTCTCCCCTGGGGTCCTCTTCTCTGGGGAATGCATTCATCTCCCTCTTCCCTCCCTCCACACGGTCAGCTTCACTGCAGCCCCAGATCCTTGCTGCTGAGGGGTTAGGGAGAGCATGTTTCTCCCTTATACCTGGAGGGACTTCCCCAAGTGACAAACGAGGCCTCCTTCAGCAGTCAGGTGGCCCCTGAGATTAGGAATTTGCTTTCTGCTTCCTTTATTTCTCATCTGTGGGGCTGCCATAGAAAGATGGACCAGTGCCTGGCTCACAGTATCACCCAGCATTTAGTGAGATGTGTAACAGACAGGCACAGCACACTCAGGTAGCTCAGGCCTTTTGGCGCTGACAGTGACTCCAAGAGGCTCTTCCTGTTTTGTGGCCACTTGAGAAGAGAAAATGAAAGCAGGAAACAGAGAGGCTTGAGGTGTTCTTGTGTTAAAGTCACATGAAAGTCAGGATCCATCCTAAAGGCTGCCAGGGAGGGCCCCGTGGGTGTTTGTGAGGCAGGTTTCTGAGTGGATCTAAGTTTTCAAAAGAAGAAGAGCAGTGGAGGCAAGCCCCAGGAATGTGGACTTTCTGCTCCAAGTTTTCCCCAGGGCAAGCATCCGCACAGGTCTTACCTGCATGGCTGGAAGGCAGCTGGAGGAAGAGCAGAAGGTGGAGAGAGAGGAGGCAGCCAGGTACACCTGTCATCTTCATCACTAGTGGGGACATTGAGCCCCGGCAGGAGGGTCAGGCGAGGCAGCTGCCCATGGGGAGCATGTCCCCTGCCACCAAGCAGCCTGAGGGAGGGTATAGGAAGGCGGCACTGCCCAGGCCCTTCCTCCACCACAGTTGCTGCCACAGCTGTGCCGGTTAGAACAGCCCACGTCACCCTCGCCAGGCACTCACACAAAAGGGCCTCAGAGGAGGGGAAGACCAGGGTTTGCCTTCACCCGCTCAGAGCCGCCTGGGGCAGCAGCTGCCTGGTACGGGGCCTTCCTCCCCCACTCCAGGCACCCCAGCCTTGGAAGTGGGCTCCTGGGGCCCATCAGTGGGTGAGGCTTATTCACAAAGTCTGAAGGTTCCCTCACTCCTCAGTTACCCTGGAACTAGCCAAGGGAGAGGGATTGTTGTTAGTTCTTAAGGGAATAAGACGTTTACCTGTTTCCTATTACTGCTGTCTCACCATCATCATGACTGGGCTGTTCTCTTTGCTGCTTTTGCTGCTGTGGACCCAAGTGCTCTTCCGTATGACTTGGTGCGTGATGGGTCACGTTGGTGCAATCTTCTTCAGCCCCCAGAGGATACATTGCAGGTGCACAGCATGAGTTGACTGCCACCGGTGTGTGGAGGGAGCAGGATCAGCCAGGGTTGCACCTGTGTGAGCCAACACAAGTGTCACACAGAGTCAGCACGCAGGACATGTCCTCAGCCTGGACATTATTATCTGGCTTCCTCAATGTCACTCAAGGAAGTGAAATCCTAATATGACCATTTCCTTTACCTTGGTATTTAGCTAGAAAGTACAAGGTAAGACCAACCCTGGCACCAAGCTACAAAAATGTATTTCCCAATCTTGAAGTGAGGCAGCCTTTGTCCAATAAAAAGAAAGTGCTGGATGGCTAAAGTAAAATGGTGCTGTCTATAATTATGTATTATAATCATAGCTACCAGGTAATATATCAGTTAAAATGCAAGGCACTTTTAAGAACCCAGCTCCTTGATGGCAGGAACCATGTTTCCAGTGATCAATGTTACTCTGCCTAGCAGGTGCTACACATAAGGAGGGGGCATTTCTACCCCTGCAAAGGATCACCTCAAATCACATCAGGCAGCAAGGGATGTGAGAGGATTTCTGGAACATACTTGTCTGCTTTTGTTCCAGACGGGTTAGAAGGGTAGATTCTATCCATTGTTTGGGATTTGCTTGTTCTTTCTCTCTGCAAAGCAGCTGGAGTTTGATACAAGCCAGGTTTGACCACCTGGAATTTTGTGGGTGAAAGTCAGGTTTGGAGAGCTGAATTCCATAGGGGGAAAGGGGCCACTGTGCTTGTTCTTCAGTTAGCATTCTCTTCCTCTAGAACCTTAACTGCTATGGGATATTCTTCCTCCATGATGAACAATCAAGTATAATTTTGCACAACACACTCCCCCAGGAGTGCTTGGGGTGGTAGGTCAACTGCCCAGCACCAAGCCAGCGGTCACAGCCCGGATGGCAGAGGGGGTGAGGTGGAGAGACGAGAGAGCAAAGAGGATCAGCCACTGTGCGCTCAGAGTCACAGAAATCACGGCATCTCTGAACAAAACAAAACTGGACAACGAGCACCTCCCTGGGTGCTTCCTGTCCCACTCTTCTAAGGGGTTTTGTGCATCCACTCATTTATTCTTATGCTTCCAAACAAATGTCTACTGTATCACTCACAGTCTGCAGATGAGCAAATAAGAGCATGAAAAAGTAACTTCTTCCATGCCACCCCAGCAGGGACTGACAAAGCCGGGGTTTCTCTCTCTCTTTTAAGATTTATTTAAGGCAGATTTAGAGAGAAGGGGAGACAATCCTGGTTCAATCCCCCAGATGCTTGCAATGGCCGGAGCTGAGCTAATTTGGAGCCAGGAGCCAGGGGCTTCTTCCAGGTCTTCCACATGGGTGCAGGCTCCCTAGGCTTTGGACTGTCCTCCACTGCTTTCCCAGGTCACTAGCTGGGAGCTGGTGCCCATATAGGATACTGGCACTTAGATGTGGAGGGTTATCTAGCTGAACCAATGGGCTGGCCCCAGAACTGGGATTTCAAATCAAGTGTTCTTGCCCCAGAATCGGCACCAGTAAACTCTACACTATAACAAGGCCTGTGATGGGCCCACCTTCCTCACCTCCCGGCCCTCAACTGTCTCAGGTCTCCAGAAAGGTGGTAGACTATTGAAGCTGGAGCAGGCAATTAGTTGGATGACATGGTGTTGGGGGGACATGTGAAGTATGCAAGGAAAAGCGAAGGGAACCACCAGCAAGATAAAGCTGCTGGTGATGTCACTCGCAGAAGTCGAGGGTGTAGGAGCAGCAGGTTTTGCCAGGCAGGTAGCTTGAGGTGAATTCGTCTGAGAGGTGAACTCTGCTGTGTTGAGCAGCGCTGGTCACTTTCAGTGTTCGCATAAGAGTCATTTTAGTTGTTGTCATTTAATTGTGTTACTCTTCTCCAGATTCTGAGCTTGGTTTGCATCTCTCTCGATCTAATAAGAGGCCACCTATGCAAAGTGATATTTTCTGAATACAGTGAATGTGTGTGACAGTTAATAACAAGCATCTACTAAAATAGCAACTTGTGCACTTTGTTATGCACCAACAGGATGGTAGAATCTTTTCCAGGTCATGTACAAAATTCATATCTTTCTAATATTTGTCTACATCACAGATGATAACAGATACGCTTGTTCTGCTTCCTGTGTTTGTAACTTAATGAATAATTCTACGTTAATATGAAACACAGTCTCTCATATTTGAAAATTTTGATCTTAGAACATACATTGAGAATACAGGAATTGAACCCTATCTGAGGGTAGTTCAGGGACTCATGGAGAGGCTGATATGGCTCAGCCACTCACGCTGCCACTTGACATGCCAGGCCTGTGTCACAGCACTGGTCTGTCTCGGCTGCTCTGCTCCCCATCCAGCCCCCTGGTGATGCTCCCGAGGAATCAGCAGATGGGGCCCAAAGGCTCGGGGCTCTTACACCCACATGGGAGGCCTAGACGGCGTTACAGCCCTTAGGGGATGGACCAACAGATGGAAAGTCTCTTTCTTTCTTTACCACTCTACCTTTTCACTGAAGAGAAGCTCACAGAAAATGGAATTTTAAAAGATAACCTTACTTTAATTCAAAATATTTTGAAATACATACTGCTTTTTTTTCATAATATTCATTTTCCATAAACTTTTTCAAGCCCCATAGAGCTTTACTGTTTTTTTCCCACAAATTCTACGTAAGGCCACCAGAGGAGGCTCCAGAGGAAAGTCTTTTAAAAATACAATGGTAAAAAAAAATAATGGTAACAACCCTTCATTTGGCAGAGATAGTAACAAGCTCTTAACAGCTTGCTAGTAAATATAACTGCACAACATTCTTTTGGTATGAATATATCGTACTTTTAAAGCTAGTTATCCAGGCCATTTACATTGCTTCAATTAAAAATTAACTAAAAAGGAGTATATTTCATGTACTTCATCTATACATTTTTTTTAAGATTTATTTTTATTATTTTTTTTTATTGGAAAGGTGGATATACAGAGAGGAGAGACAGAGAGGAAGATCTTCCGTCCGATGATTCACTCCCCAAGTGAGCACAACGGCCGATGCTATGCCGATCCAGGAGCCAGGAACCAGGAACCTCTTCAGGGTCTCCCACGCAGGTGCAGGGTCCCAAAGCTGTGGGCCGTCCTCGACTGCTTTCCCGGGCCACATGCAGGGAGCTGGATGGGAAGCAGGGCTACCGGGATTAGAACCGGTGCCCATATGGGATCCTGGGCGTGCAAGGCGAGGACCTTAACCACTGTGCCACTGCACCGGGCCCTTCAACTATACTTTTAAGAACATAATACTTCTAACCCTACCCTTCCTCTTTTACTTCATTTAAAAAAAATCAATTCTCTTTTTTATACATTTTATTATTATTATTATTATTTTGATATGGTTCCATAGGCTCCAGGCATTTCCCTTATCCCTTCCATAATTTCCTCCCTCCCACCTAGTTCCTCTATATCATTACTAACATATAGTCCTTCATACTCAGTCATATGTCCATCATTGTGGGCATGGACAATGGCAGAGAGTCCAGCATCCTATTGTCAAGATATAGTAAACAGTTTCATTGTAAGTCCATCTTTCTCTGGAAGTAGAAATGCATACTACATTGTATCCTCACATCTGGATGTTAGTCTCCATTTCAAAGCTACTGTACATCCCCTTAAATGAAAAGTCATAATACAAAATCAACAATAGGAAGAAAAATAGAAATTTTCAATGTCATGAAGTTAAATGACATGTTACTAGATACGACAGTCTCCATTACAGTTATTATACATCCCCTGAAATGAAGAGCCACAAAACAAACTCAACATCAGGAAGAAAAAAGAAATTAACAACACCATGAAGTTAAATAACATGCCACTAAATGAGGAAAGTGTAGCTTAAGAAATGAAAATCAAGAACCTTCTTGAAGAAAATGATGCTACTGTATGATCTATGAGTCATTGAATGATTTAATCAGAAGAAACTGTTTTGAAAAGATGAAACTAACAGGAAACAACAAAACCCATGCGATGTAATTTCTGCTGATTGTTGTTGGTGAAGTGTGTCTCTTCTAGACAATAAAGAGATGGGTTTTGTTTCTTAGCCCAGTCTACTAATCTATGACATTTGATTGAGCTTAAGCCATTTACATTCAGGGTTAATATGTATGGATGGTACTTTGGTGCTTTGGTCCTGTCATTTTAGGAATGGGTTGTTCATTGATTTAGTCTTCTGTTGTCATTTGACTGGGATGTTCTTCACATTTGCCTTTGGTTTTGGTAGGTACTATTCCTCTTCTCTGTCAAGAGAACATCTTGAAGTATCATTTGTAGGGCAGGTTTGGAAGAGACAAATTCTTTTAACTTTTCTTCACTGTGGAAGAATTTTATTTCATTTTCAAAGACAAAAGAAAGCTTTGCTGGATATGTTATCTGGGGTTAACATTTTTTT